GAACCCCTTCGTGCATGAGTTGCATCTCTCCCGCCTCCAGAAGGTTAAGGTAAGCTGTGGGCAGCGGGCGCTGGAGAGACTCGTGGGGATAGGAAAATGGGGCCATTTAGAGCTCCGGCAAAAATCGGCACGGCAATCCATGGGAAGGAGGTGACCGAGAGGCTTGCGGAGTGGGATTTGGGGGTGCGCACGTGGGGGTGGCCGGGGGTGGGCGAGGAGTCCCGGGAGGACGCGGGCTCGGGCGATAGACAAGCTCGAAGATGTAGAAGAATTGAGTCGGTGGGGCTGGAGGACTGCTAGGTACCCAAGGGTAGGAGAGATGGAGGACACTGGGGAATGCGGATTACATCCTGCGGAGGCTGTCAGGATGGAGTTGGAGACTACGGGAAGCCGGGGGTGGGGGCAGGGGCGTACTGAGTGCTTCTCCGAGGCTCTGATTTAGAGGGAAGGCGTTTCTGGGCCTGGAACCTGCGTGCCTGTGCCCTCCTAACACCACTTCTTCCCACTCACCCCCACCCCGCACTGCAGCACCTCCCGGTGGGGGCAGGGAGGCTGTAAAGGGGGTTGGCTACAGGAAGTAGAGGACCGCACCAGCCTAGGGGAACTAGGAGGTTGTGTGGGGAGGGAGTGTCCAAGGTCTCTGCTGTCATCGCTTCCCTAGAGGCGGGCCCCAGGGGCTAGGTTTGTTTACCTGCTCCCGCCCCAAGGCAGCCTATGGAGTCTTCCTGACTACTGGCCACACCTACCAAGCCAAGGGGGGCCGAGCTCTTCTCTCCCCTATCCCCCAGCACTGCAGGATTGCTGTTAGGCTGTACTAGAAATGATCCGATCCCTGAAGACTGAACCCCTCAGTGAACTGAACCCTCTTCCTCCCAGGACAAAGTGAAAAGAACTGTGCACCTGGTTGCTGTTGGGCATAGGAGCTATTTATGGAATAGGATGTGGGGGAGGAAGATCTATCTCCCGCCTACTCTACATCAAGCACAGTGCGGGGCACTTTCACATGTGTTATCTCATTAAATCCTCTAAGTGCTAGATGCATTTTATGACATTCTGTTTTATAGGTGGGGTAGAGACCAACTGAGAGATAGGAAAAACAGGGCCCTTGATGCTATTAATCTTTTATCTTTCTGCCCTCGTTGTTATCTTCATCCCACCTTGATTCCCAGCCCCCTCTTCTGTTCTCACACCACCTATCACCTGCAAGAGATGATGGCTGTCTACTCCTGGGTCCATCCTTGGTGAGAGGGATGCTGTGGAGGAAGCATCTCCCAGCCCTGAAGTTGCATTCTCTCCCACCCTCTGCAGTTCTGCCTCTTGGGGGCACTATTGGCCCCCATCCGAGTGCTTCTGGCCTTTATCGTCCTCTTTCTCCTCTGGCCCTTTGCCTGGCTGCAAGTAGCTGGTCTTTCTGAGGAGCAGCTTCAGGAGCCAATTACAGGATGGAGAAAGTAAGTGGGGATCAGCCCTCAGAGACCCTACTTCTCTTCCCTGCTGTCCCTTCTGTTCCCACCTTGAAGAAGACAAGAGGGGTTCTGAAACCGTCCTGTTCAGCTTGGGTGGGTGAGATGAGTTAGCCAGGCTCAAACCTGTTACCCAGACCTCCTCAACTCTAAATGATATGCCCTGATACTTCCCAAAGTAGCCAGAGACTTCAGGCCTTGGTTACATCCTATTTGAAGGTAAAAGAGGGGTGCCCTACTTTCTCAGTGCCTGAACCTGGGGGTGGGTGAGGATCAGAACTGCTGCTTCTACTGATACCCAGCCTTGCTCTGGCAGGACTGTGTGTCACAACGGGGTGCTGGGCCTGAGCCGCCTGCTCTTTTTCCTGCTGGGCTTCCTCCGGATTCGTGTTAGGGGCCAGCGGGCCTCTCGCCTTGAAGCTCCTGTCCTTGTTGCTGCCCCCCACTCCACTTTCTTTGACCCCATTGTTCTGCTGCCCTGTGACCTGCCCAAGGTTGTGTCCCGAGCTGAGAACCTTTCTGTGCCTGTCATTGGAGGTGAGAGAGTTCAATGCGGGGGTGATGGAAAAGGATAAAAACTCTGGGCAAAAAGTCTGGAGAGAAGAATGGGCCTCAAGAGGGGAGGGAATAGAAGGGGAATTGACCGTTGGCAAATGAAATGTAAATGAACACTATTTGTCAACCAGTCTTTTAGACTCAGAGCTGGGACATAGAGAAGGTGTTGGAGAGCGCTCTGGTCCTTTCTCTACAAGGGCAACATACTATAAAGGAATTGTCCCCAGGGCAATGGGATAACTGAGAAACATCTCATACTGTTGAGGAAGTGGAGACTACAGATGTTAATGCCCCAGGGTGGAAAGCAAGTGACTCCTCTCTGTATTCTTTCCCATCCCCAGCCCTTCTTAGATTCAACCAAGCCATCCTAGTATCCCGCCATGACCCAGCTTCTCGTCGCAGAGTGGTGGAGGAGGTCCGAAGGCGGGCCACCTCAGGAGGCAAGTGGCCCCAGGTGGGTAAGGGTCTTAAGACCCTCTCCTCACCTTTTATGTGCTTTTAAAAAGGTTTCCCTTTCCTCTCTCCTCCCCTCCAGCCTTCACCTCATTCTGCTTTCTTTTTTCTCCCAGGTGTTATTCTTTCCTGAGGGCACATGTTCCAACAAGAAGGCTTTGCTTAAGTTCAAACCAGGTGAATAAAATGATAGTGGGTGATAGGACTGTGGGGAAAAGGGAGTCCCAGATTTGGGGAGGGACTTTGGAATAACCCAAGAAGTGGAAGGGTAGGAGGGATGAGGGAGTAAGGAAATAGGAAACTTCCTAGCTAATGCTGACAAGTCGAGGGGTCAGAGAGAAAATACCAATTAGTAGAGCAAGCCAAATCTCATTTGAGAACTGTCCCAGACTCCTAGACTCATACCTTCTAGCTATCTCTGTGTACTAATCTCTGCCTGGTTGGGGGGTGGAAATGGGATTTAGGAGCCTTCATCGCAGGGGTGCCTGTGCAGCCTGTCCTCATCCGCTACCCCAACAGTCTGGTAAGTCTTAGTCCAAGGAAGGGTGGAAGGGGAGAGCATGAATCCACCCCAGATAGAAATGTGATGTGCATCTGGGGTGGGGCCAGAGGTGGAGTTAGGGCCTCTGCTCTTAGATGATTGGTAAATTCCAATGGAAAAAAGTACTGCTCATCTGACTTCATCTCTGCTTTTCCCACAGGACACCACCAGCTGGGCATGGAGGGGCCCTGGAGTGTGAGTTCTGGTATTCCTGGGGTGAGGGTGGGGAACAGGATCCATCAGAGAATTTCTGGTCCATCTTCCAAATCTCCAGACATGGCGAATGACCCTTCTTCATTCCAGAACTGAGAGAACTCTAGAGGAGAAGCCCCTGTCCTCCTGATCTCACAGTATAATCTGGTGTTGCTTTCAGCTATTCCACCCCTAAAGTGTTCCTGCTGTGATTATGGCTCCTTTGCACTTATGTTCCCATTTTTTTAATGATGTTTCTCCCTTGGATGTCCCTTGTTGAGAATCAACCACCAGCAGGCATGCCTCTTGCCTTTTCTGTTACTCAAACCTCCTCTCGCCGGCAGCTCTTCCTCTGGCATATCCTTGCAGCTCTTCTCTCTTTCTCTACCATCTTTCTGGCTCTTCTTTGTGTCTCCCAACTGCATATTCACCAGCTGACTGTATGGCTAGGAGTCCATCTGTATATCATTAGGTAGAACTTTCCCACTCCCCTCCTCAGGATGAGAGGAGCCCACAGTTAGTTTGGTGAGCATCGAGTCTCTTTTTTCTTAGACTCAAAGTCCTCTGGCTCACAGCCTCTCAACCCTGCAGCATTGTGGATGTGGAGGTACGAACCCCGTGGGTGGGGTGGGAGAGTGAATGTCTTGGAGGCCTGAAGCCTTGGGGAAAGAGGGTGGGAGTGGTCATGCCTCACTGAGGTCCTGATAAGAATTGCATGTGTATGTTTCAGTTCCTCCCTGTGTATCACCCCAGCCCTGAGGAGAGCAGGGACCCCACCTTCTATGCCAACAATGTCCAAAGGGTCATGGCACAGTGAGTATCCCCACAAAGTATTTCCTGGAGCCATTACACAAGGAGGGGTTGGATGGGGTGAGGTTGTAAGGCAAAGATGGTGGAACTGGCAGTGGAAAGGGCTCTCGGACAGCTGAGACTGAGGAGGGGAAATTTAAAGGGTCCTGATCTGCTCCCCCCAGTTAGTGGTCCAGAGTCAATAGTGAACCCTCAGCAGTTTTTTCTGCTTCCTCCCCCTCCATTCCATTCCTCTTTATCCTCTAGGGCCCTGGGCATTCCAGCCACCGAATGTGAGTTTGTAGGGAGCTTGCCTGTGATTGTGGTGGGCCGGCTAAAGGTGGCACTAGAGCCGCAGCTCTGGGAACTGGGAAAGGTGCTTCGGAAGGCTGGGTAAGTGGCCTTGAAGATGAGGGTGCGAGCAGTGTCACACACACACACACACACACACACACACAGAGAGAGAGAGAGAGAGAGAGAGAACAAGAAGGGGAGAAATGGGAAGGAGGAAAGAAAATCTTAAAAATGAAAAAATGTGGAAAGATAATGGGATAAATCAAAGGAAGAGGGGAAAAGAATGGAAGGATATGTAATAACACAGGTGAAAAAAGTAAGAAGGACTCTCAAGAAATCTTAGAAAAACAGTGGCTTGAGCCTGTGCTGGGAGAACTCTACTGGGACCTGGGTCCTGTGCATGGTATGTCCAGAAGAGAACTGAGACATCTCTCTGCCTTCAACAATTCCATTGTAGGCTGTCCCCTGGCTGTGTGGATGCTGGGGCAGAGCCAGGCCGGAGTCGAATGATCAGCCAGGAAGAGTTTGCCAGGCAGCTACAGCTCTCTGATCCTCAGACGGTGGCTGGTGCCTTTAGCTACTTCCAGCAGGTAAAGGAGCTGGAACACAGAGGGCAGAACCCAGCCTTGCCCTCCAGTCTGACATGCTCCTAGTGGCCATATCAGTTGCACTAGATGCCCACTTTGGAATCAGCACTGAATGTTCTCACTGCTGTTGTTAGATGGTCATCTTCTGAGATCCACTGGGAGATTCTTTAAAAAAAAAAAAAAAATCAGCCGGGCTCAGTGGCTCAGCCTGTAATCCCGTGCCTTTGGGAGGCTGAGGTGAGTGAATTGCCTGAGCCCACGGGTTCGAGACCCGCCTGGGCAGCAAGACTTCATCTCTACAATAAATCAAAAAATCAGCCGGCGTGGTAGTGCATGCCTATAATTCCGGCTATTTGGAAGGCTGAGGCGGAAGGATCGCCGGAGCCCAGCAGGTAAAGGCTGCAGTGGCCGGGAGCGGCCACTGCATCCAGTCTGGGCAACAGAGTGAGACTCCAACTCAAAAAAAAAAAAGAAATCAAACATCCACTGCATTGAAGAGCAATGTTCTAATCATTGAGAGGAGGAAAAAGGGAGAAATAACCAATCGGTGAGGTCTTTAAATTTCTGAAGCCACTATAGAGATTGGCAAAGATATTTAATCATAAGACCTTGTGAGGCCCTGGGAGAGGCTCTTTGAAGAAGAGTCATGAAGGTAGGAAGATGACATATAGAAGAAACAACACTGGACAGGTTAGATGGCTGAGAGTTTGAGACCCAGAAGTATTTGCTGTATTTGGACAGACTATTTCAAATATCCTGTAGTTTCTCTAGAGCAGGAGTCCCCAAACCGCCATCCCTGTTAGGAACCAGGCCACACAGCAGGAGGTGAGTGGTGGGCGAGCAGAGCTGTGCCTCCTGTCAGATCAGCAGTGGAATTAGATTCTCATAGGAACAAACCCTGTTGTGAACTGTGCATGCAAGGGATCTAGGTTGCATGCTCCTCATGAGACTCTAATGCCTGATGATCCCCCCTCCACTAACCAAGTTTTCCTGTCAAATTATAATAATCCTAGAAGACACTTAATGTTTATGAACAAGAAACAGTGGTCCCAAGAGCTTTTTTTAATCTGAGAAACAGACTGACTAAATGTCCTTTGAAAGAGCAGAGTGACCAGGTATATAGACTTCTTAGATTGAGGCAGACTGTCCCTGAAAAGAGCTTCCCCAATTTGTCCTGTGGCAGAGCAGAAACAAAAATTCAGATGCCATGGTCTCCTATAGAGCTGGCACAGCAGGCAGTCTCCTTGGGTTTTTTGTAAGAAATCATGCCAGTGGTCCCCTTTCAATCTGTTGTACCAGTTCTTCCGCATAGGTTGAGTCAGAAGAGAGAACCAGTTTGTCCAGCTTTGGGGGCCAGTAATGCCTTCCAGGGGCATGTCAGAAACTTGATAGTAGTATCAGCATTCCTGAGGGATTCTCTAATATTCCTAGATCTTTTTATGGTTGGGCTTTTTCACCAGGTAGCTTGGTATAGCTTGAGAAAGCCTGAGAGAAATTCCAGGGATCCTGGAGAATGTGACTCACAGTTCTAAGGGGAATGGTCACAGAGATCACCACCATGCCTGCTGAGAAGAGGCAGAGGCCAAAATCCAGGGAGCAGGAGGGAGAATGCAGGGTCCCCCCATTCCTCTGGTTTTTGCTTTCACTCCAGGATACCAAGGGCTTGGTGGACTTCCGAGATGTGGCTCTTGCACTGGCAGCTCTAGATGGGTGCAGGAGTCTGAAGGAGCTGATAAGCCTGGCCTTTGAGGTACAGAGGGCTGGGGGGGGGGCACCTGGTGGCTATGCCCACCCCACACTGGTAGACCTGTGTGGTGTATTTTTCCAGTAGCTTCTAGATAGGAGGTGCTTGGTATCTATCCCAATGCCACCCTGTCAAAAACTGCAGAGCCATAGCCTCTCTTTGTTGAGGCCTGGCTGGGAACAGGAAGAGGGCAGAAGCTATAAAGCCTGTAGTTCTGCAGAAAGGGCCCTGAGGGTCAGGGAGGTCCTGTGTACCACTGTTTTGGAAGAGGAGCAGCCTGTCAGGCCAACCTGCAGGGCAATGTGAAACAAGAGCATGAGGAGAGAACTTGACTAGCATCCCTTTTTCTTCCAAGCTCTTTGCTGAAGAGCAAGCAGAGGGGCCCAGCCGCCTGCTGTTCAAAGACGGCTTCAGCACCATCCTACACCTGCTGCTGGGTTCACCCCTCCCTGCTGCCACAACTTTGCATGCTGAGCTGTGCCAGGCAGGATCCAGCCAAGGCCTCTCCCTCTGTGAGTCACTTCCTTCTCAGCCTCACATGGGTAATGGGGCACCATCAGCACTTGGGACTTGGAGAAGAAAGCACCAGGCTGGGAGGGAACAAAGGTTTGTGGCCATTGCTGGGAATCAGAACCTCTGAGAAGTGAGGCTGGAAGGGAAGGAAAGACTGGAAAGGAAGAGAAGACCTAAGACTGGGTTTGAGAAGTTAAACAGAGAGTAGAGGAACAAGACAAAGAGCAGAGGCATCTTCTTCTCTTTCTTCGGTCTTTTCACTTTTCCCCATCTCACTCTTATTTGTCTAGGTCAGTTCCAGAACTTCTCCCTTCATGACCCACTCTATGGGAAGCTCTTCAGCACCTACCTGCGCCCGCCACATACCCCCCGAAGCACCTCCCCGATACCAAATGCCTCATCCCCGGGCAGCCCCACTGCTCTGGCCAATGGGACTGTGCCAGCACCCAAGCAGAAGGGCGATTGAGCGCCTCAGCCTCCCGCCCCCTTCCTCCTCAGGACAGCGCCAGGGGCCTACCCTATGCCTCAGCCCCATCTCTGCTCTTCTTTGACTTTTGTTACCATTGTCTGTTTTAAGTTGATTTTAATTTTTTGTTTGGTTGTGTTTTTTTGTAAGAAACTATTTTATATATAAATATAAATCTATATATCTATTTAAAAAAAAATGAAGCTCAGTCACACTGATGGTATCATTAGTTGGGAAGGGATGAGTGGTTGCAGGATTCCCAGTACAAGATCCCAAAGGTTCCCAAGGTCAGTCCTCTTGGCCATAGCTAGATGAATCCTCTCCACTCCAGATGGACAAGGCTCTTTCCTGCACAGAGATCATACAAGAGATTTTATGTCTTCCTTTCCTGGTGTCATTTCCTATATATGCACATTCTAACAGACTTTCTCACAAACCTCTTTTCAGTTCATTCCCTCTTGTTCTGTCCTCATTAGAGATTTTAAAAAATAACTTACTACCATTCCATATTTAATAATCCTACTGAGACTTGATTCCATCACCAGTGGAAGCAGAAAGCTGTGTTAATAAGGAGTCAGCCTCCTCCCTGCAGGTCAGAACAACCACACAGGAGGGTTTCTTTGCCATGGGATGAGGTGAGGACCCCTAAGTCCTTTCTGTCCAGCCTCCTTTCGAGAAAGAAAGCAAGGCCCCCTAAAGGTCTATGTCTAGACACAATTGTGGGAAATTAATTAGAAAATTAGATCTTGATCTCAGAGACCCAACAAGTAAAGAAAGCATCTTTCCATCTGTAGACTTAAAGGAAGGCAGGTAATTATAGGATGTCCAGATAAACTCTCCCCATGCCAAGTCCAGGCTTGTGAAGAGGGAATAAATAAAGGGATCATTGGAGACTTCTCAGTTTGGGGCTTACCGCAGTCTGAGAACCAGTTTCTCACCAAGAGGAGGGTGGAGGCAAGGCAAGGTATTTGGACTTGCAAAATCTGGATCTACCCCTACTCCTTTCTTTATAGCATCTTACCATATCTAGCAGCAAAGACACAAGTACAGAAGGAGGACACATCGAGAGCGTTTTCCAACCCAAAAAAACTTTATTCATTTTTTTCTTGTCCATTCAACTCCTTCCAAAGGTACTTCACCCTCCCCCCGACTTCCCACTAAAGGGTCTGACCTCCCTCTCCACACTTGCCATTTTTACAGAACAACAAAACAGCACTGGATGAGACTGATTCTCCATTGGTGAGCAACGGGTAAAATCTACTCTGGGGACTGGCAGGTGGGGTCAGATGGTCCTGCTGCTTCCTACTGGCTACGACGTCGTTTCTTCCTTCTGCTCGTGACAAAACTGTCACGCCGCCTTTTACGAGACTGTGAGGGTCCAACTTCTCCCAGAGCCTGGGGATTCTCCCCAGGGATCCCAAGTTGAGCTCCAGGGTGGGGTCTCTTCTCAGCAAGGACTGGACCTCCAGCAAGAGCTTGCTTCCCAGCCTTGGCAACAGGATGTAGAGTTTGGTTGAGGCCTCTTGCCCCAGCAGAGAGGGGGTAGAATGCTCTCTGGCTGCCCCGACCTCCCAAGGCATGGTGAGGACTGAGAGGAAGCCCCCTTGGTGATAGACTAAGTTTAGAAGCCAAGAGGTAGGCAAAGTTGGAGAGTTCCTCATCTTCCTCCTCCTCTCCCTTCTCTGCCTCTTCCTTCTCCTCTTTCTCCTTTCCTTTTGCCCCATCTGCTGAGCTTTGTGGTTCACTAACAGGAGAGGTTTCTCTCAGAACTAAGGCATCCCTGGTTCCCTGACTAGGAGAAGTGCCTCCAAGGCCCTCGTGAGGAGGTGTTGATTTGGGAGTCCCAAGTGTATAAGATTTTTGACTCCCTTGTAAAGGAACAAGGTCTTTAGATTTGGATAGATCGGGATCCTTCCCACCCTCTCCTTGGAGGTCATAAGAAATAAAATTAGGTGAGCAAGTATCCTCACTGACCCCTAGTTGGAAGTCACAGTCATCTCTAATATCTACTATGTTGACATGTTCTGTGGTTTTCAACAGAGGAGAAAAGGAATCACCTCTGTTCCCTGCCTCTCGGCTGGCCTCAGAGGAGGCAGCATCCTGGGTCCCCAGAATGAGACTGTCTTGGTATGCAGGCGAGAGGGTGTCTTTGGAAGACTCCAATGTGGAGGTACCAATTATTCCCTCCAGCAGTGGGGAACAACCTTCAGCCCACAGATGTCCAGGATCCTGTATGGTCTCGAGGCTCTGTCCTCTATTTTCTTTGGACCTCAAGGCCAGGCCATCGGCCCTTAGAGGTCCTGGCAAGCTGCAGTAGTTTCTCTCTTCTAGGGCAGCTGTGGTATCTGTGCCTCTACAAAGAACCATACTGTTCTCCATAACCCCGGGTACTGTGTCTTCTCCAGGACTCAGAGAAATGTTGCTTCTGGAGCCCAATACCTGGCAGCCTCCCTGGTGCTCAGTCACACATTCCCTATCTCGAAAGTTCTCTATGACCTCTTCGATATGTATGGGCAACTCCAAGCCTACAGCCTCCATCTCACTGCTCAACCAAAGTTCTGGGCTGAGAGAGACCACGACCCTGTCCCCAGCTGCTCTAGGGGAAGGGTTCTGATCATAACTCTGAGCCAAGGGAGGACCTCTGTCATCTGCCCATTTGGCTCCTGAAGAGCCTTCCTGGGGAACTATTAAAGGTTCCTCTCCTTGAGCAAGTGCTCCAAGACCTCCTGTCTGGAACCTGAGGACCTGCTTTTCTAACCCTCCTTCTTGCAGAGGAGCCAGCTCTGCAAGTCCAACATCCAGACTGGGAGCTCCCTGGGGCTGGCGACCTTCCTGCCAGGAAATGGGCTGAGCCTCTGAAGTCCCATCAGCCTCCAAGCAGTGTCCTGGGGACCCAGCACCTCCCAGGTAGCCATGCTGATGTGTAGATATCTGGTTTATAACCTTTCCAGAACCCCTTCTCAAGGGTTCTGGAGTTCCCTGTGGAGCTGCAGTTTCTAACTGCAGGTCCCAGCTGCTGGGGGCTGGCAGCGTGTTCCCATCCCTACGTGTCCCCCTTGGACCATCAAGGGCTTGCTCCTGCCCTCCATGTACTTCTCTTGCCCATTTTCCTGGAGAAGCAGCCTTTCTAAGGTAAACAGCACCCCCAGTCCCCCGAGGTCTAGGTGAGGGCTGAAGCCGCCCAGCCCCATCTTCATCCCCATCAGAAACAGAAAGACTCGAGTCTGATTGAACTCCACTGCAACTTGGAGGAGCCTCTGCATCCTCCCCTTCTTCCAAGGCCAGGAGTCGCTTCTGGACCAGCTGGAAGAAAATAGGCAAATACTAGTTCTATGCATGGTTATGAGACAGGGTGGCTGCGTGGGTAGTAAAAGATGGTATTTAGAGGCTGTGCAGTGAATACAGTGGCTCATGCCTATAATCCCTGTACTTTGGGAGGTTGAGGCAGGAGGATCACTTGAGGCCAGGAGTTCGAGACCAGCCAGGGCAACATAGCAAGACTCCATCTCTATGTTTTTTAATATATATTTTTTTAATGTTTTTAATTTTTTTTTAAATGGCATTTGGGCAAGGCAGGGAAGGCAAGTAAGTAGTGTAAGTAATGGTATCAAAAACAGACACTGCAGCTGTATCCCACCTTGATACTTATTCACAAACTTTGAGCCCTTACACTCTCAGTTCCTAGTTTCCATAGTCCCCACCTACTTGTTCTGCACTTGAAGCCCAATCCTGAAGCTGTGCATCTCTAGAGCCATATCATCTATGATAGCGTCAAGTTAGATAAAATCACGAGTTTCTTATTCTGATATTCCCTACATCCTGGCTTTACCTGAGCAAGAGTGAGTCCTTCTTCTTGTTCCAGTTCCTCAATTAAGGCCAAGGGATCCCTCTGTTGTTCTGGGGATAGCAGATCTGCCAGAAATCTAGGGTGAATGACAGCTTCCACCTGGGGGACAGAAGGAAAAGTGACATGAGTCCCTGACAAGAGGTAAGCTGTGAGACAAAGGGCTCTAGAGAACAAGCAATGACCACCCCTGCTCACTTCCAGGGTTATACATTATGATCACCACCAGCTATACATATTAACATATATGCACACATGCACATACATTCCTCAGTCACAAAATAGAACCTAGTTCCTACTGCCTTGGGCAAAACTCCAGATCATTGGCTTCCTGGAGTACCTGCCCCCAGGATCTGCTGGAAACCAGATGTGCAGGCCCAGCTTACCTTGGAGACGAAGACCTCCTGAGAACACAGCTCATCAATGTAGCTCAGGAGACCTGGATCTGGATACATCCCTTCCTCCTCTTGCCACTGCTCTTCCTGTTTTCCATCTGACTCCCCAGTGGCCAAGTGACTCCCCACCAGTGCTTCCATGATGTCAGCATACTCTTTCACAGCCTCTGGTGGGATCTCCTTGGGTGCCTCAGGAACTGGAGGCCTCTGGGGTTTGCGCTGACGCCGACGGGGGGCCCGGGCCTTGGAGGCTGCCTTCTTTGGGATGTACACTAAGGGAAGAGATGGAAAGGACAATGGCAAGTGGCACAGAAGCTACAGCTTCTATCTGCAGGCTCTGTAAGGGCAGCAATCTGGGTACGCTGAAATGATTCCAGGCTGAATCAAAGTCAACCTGAAAAAGTACCGGTCATTAGGAGAAGACTTAGGAGCCGGAGGGTCTAAGAGAATCACTGTATGAAGAATCTTGGAATCCCTGAAATTCCAAGAAACTCCCTGATCTAGCCCCATTTCTTAGGCAAATGAGGTATGTGCCAGATTACAGTCTCAATGAGAGTAGTTGACTTGACCAAGATCAATACCCAATTTGGGACAAAGGGAGCCGGAGAATCCAGCCTTTTATGGGGTGGTCTGTTTGGAACATTAAATGCCACGGCCTCTGGAGGGAAAGTGGCAGAGCCAAGGGCAATGCCTTTCCTAATCTGGGACTGGTTTCTGTACACCTCCCTTTGAGCCTGTGGTCCACAGCTCCTGTTGTAATTGGGTAGCCTTACCTGGCTGCTGGCAAACCTCAGGGGCCAGGGGCCCTGGAGGATCAAGTTTCAAAGGGACTACAGGAGACTGGCCCTGAGACCCATTCATCAGCTGTGTGTTCTGAGTCTGCGTCTCCTCCTCAGCCTCAAACTCCATGAACCTGCAGAGGGTGAGGAAGGCACGGGCAGTGCTGAGGAGACCAGGTCCATCAGCAACCCAAGCAGCAGTCAAGCATAGCTAAGAAAAGAAGTGCTTTCAATTGGATAAAGTATATATAAGTCATGTCACGCAGGAGAGGGCTGCTCACAGGTAGCCTAACAACATTTCTAGCGAAACCTCAGGAGCTTACCACATTGTTGCTTCACCTACAGTCTTCTCTTAGGAAGCTTGTTAAGAAAATGAATGATATAGAGCTTGGGAACTTTAGGACAAAGCTGGGGCTTTCACTTATTTTCCATAGCGATCCCGTACAGCTTAATGAACTGTACACAACAGCACTTAATACAGACTTGCTGAATTCCATCAGGCCTGATGCATCAAGGCCTTATCTGCCCCTGCCTACTACCATAAATTGGCTGAATTCCTGAAGCAGGGTCCAGGGCCACACTTCAAGGCAGTTTCCACCAGAAGGCAGTGCTGAGATCCAGGAATCCCAGAGGCTGGGGCTGGGACCTTGGAAAAGTAAAAACAAAGGAGATATGGGTCCAGAAGATTTGGGGAGAAAAAAATCGAAGCTAAGTTTTATAAAAAGGGTTCACTTTCCTTGTGTTTTTTTGTGTGTGTGTGTGTTTGTTTTTTAACTGAAGAGATCACCTAGAAAAGGGATAAGAGTCAGACCACTCTGGTCATCCAGAACCTTGGCTGCTTCTAGCTCTTTCAGAACCAGCCCCTCCCTAGGATGAGAGGGAAAGGGATTTTTCTGTGCAGCTGTGTCCAAAACAGGGGTGGTCTTGACGTTCTGCGTCAATAGCCACTTGCCATCTTGTTAGTGACAAAAGAACCTGCCTAGTAGAATGTACCTCTTCCTTGCTAGGTCTCTTCAGCATGGAATTTGTATATCTGCTAGGCTGTGATCCCATCCTAACACCTACAATACCAAGACCCCTATACAGAATCAACATCTGGACAAGGGAGAGTTTCCAGAGAAACCCTAGAGTCAAAGTGATGGAAGAAGCAGCAAGGATCTAGGAGACCCTGTGCTAATCTACACCCCCCCAACATCCCTTTTTTTAATTTTTAATTTTAAATATGTGGTGTACAATTCAGGGTTAGGTATACAAATGTTCATTAGGCAGGTACCCTTGATGAAGTGTGCCCCCACTCCCCTGGTATTTTCCCACTACTGCCAATCTCTTTTTTTTTTTTTAAAGCAGGATTTATTAAGAGGACAGAAAGTCTCATGGTGGAAGGGGACCCAAGGGGGTTGCCTGCCAATCATTTTCTTATAGTATTATGATAGTTATTCAAGGTCCGCTTATGAGTGAGAACACTAACATCCCTTTTTCTTTTTTTTTTTTTTTTTTTTTTTTG